CCGGCTCCAGCTCACTGGCTCACTGCAGCTCCAGAACTTCCCCAAGCCTCCCTCCCGTGCTGCTCTATAGGTTCACACTCTGGACACTGCTGAAGCTGCTCATCTCAGTTACTGCGCCCCTGGGTGTTCCGATCACCCAGGGCCAGAAAAGGTGTCGCCAGCCCAATGTGGGAGATGATGGCCTGGCTTTACTAAAAAACTGCGTGATCAAAATCCCAACTGTAGGAAAGACGTAACTGAGAATGACTGGGCCCCATGTTCTGGGAGGAGCCTCGCTAACCACAACCTCCCCTGCTTCTCCCCCGCACTCCCCTAAAGAGCGAGGTGGCTGTGTTTTAACCTCCCGTTAAGATCACCGCACAAAGAAAAGTGAGTCAGCTCCTCTTTGCCTTCTCTCCCCACTCCTTCATGGTATAGGGCAGGATATGACAGAGCCTGCCACTGTCACAGGACCTCGCCACACCAGACAGCCACCAGTACGGTGTTCATCGGGAGCCTCGCAGTGCCTGTACCACCTGTGGGTTCAGGTGTCCTCAGGCCCATCCTCGCCTCCCCAGCATTTCAGCTAGGGCCAAGGCCAGCTCCCAGGGCCCAGAACTAGCTCTGCCACTCTTGAGGACAGGTTAAAAACACCAACGGCCACACTGGAGAGGAAGGCCCCATGCAGCTTTTCTGTCACCTTGGTGATGAGCCACCAGGCAGAACCCATTAAGTGCTAATATTGCTGTTTATGGGTATAAATTGCTTAGAAGCTACATTTTGCAGAGGGTCTAATAGGCAATGAGGAGCAGCTGCAGGCATGGACATTAGTTTGGATTGCTGAGTTCATTAGAGTTTCTGGCCCCTTCCCATGGCTTCCAAATGCCCAGCTCCTGCATAGAGCATGTCTCAGCAGTTTCTACAGAACATGGCTCCCGGGAGCAAGAGGACACTGTCCCTGGCTGCCAGAGCAAGAAGCTTGATGCCAGAGGCAGAGAGACAAGAGATGCAGCTGGGGGGAGCCTGCCAGCAGAAACTAACCGGACTGCTCGTCCCCGTGGACCAGCCTCTGCAGACCAGAAGGAAAGGTCACAGTCCACCAAGCAGTGAGGAACCCAGCCTTTGGGGTAAAAAGATGTGGACTCAGTCTCCAGCTCACCACGAGCCAGTGCAGCCAGCCAACCTCCCTCTGCCCATCTGAAGATGGAGACGCTCTGGTCCACCTCCTGCAGTCAGGAAGGTCACACAAGGAATGTCTGTCATGCACCTGGCCCAGTGAAAGACTTAATGTCATTGTCATAATATCGGAAGACACTGGGCCTGGGAAACTAAGCTTATTTAGGTCTTGCTTTCAGCAGCCCACACTTTCTGGTCAAATCTTGTCACTTCGGCTTTACTCTTGTTTTCTGAAAATGAGAAAAAATGGATGTGTCACTTTATCTGATCAGTGACTTCCATGGTAATCCCCTATTGGCTTCAAATTAGGTCATTTTCATGTAAAAGCCTGGTCTGGCAGCTTTAAGTACTATGTGGATAAATAGAAACAAAGCCCCACCTGGGCTTCATCAGATTCTGTCCACAAGAAGCCATATTTTGACTTCGAACCCTATTAACCTGCCTGTGTCTGTCTGATTGGGGTTTGGGTGAGTACAAGTCGCTGCGCTCCCAAGCTGCCCGCAAAAGGGCATGGAAGCTCCCGCAGCCATGCTCTGCCACCACCCAGGCGGACTCTAATGAGATCATCTGACGGCGGCAGCCTGCGCTGCCTTACAGACATGGTCCTAACCCATTGGGTTTTGTATGTGAGCAGCCCCTTCACCCGCCAGTGCTCTTCCCTTGACTTGTGCCAGAAGAGCAACACCAGGGACTGGGGGCGCTGGGGACCAAGACCCGGCTTTTCTTCAGTGGCCACAGGCAAGTCTAGGAGCCTGAGTGTGTTTGGCCTCCTCTCAGTAACCTGGGAGAGGTTGACTCTGTGCCCCCTCAAGAGCCTTTCCAGTTCCAAGCTACTGCTTCTTTCATTTAAAACACAACAGAACACATAAAGAAGGCTGGACGCGGTGGCTCACACCTGTAATTCCAGCACTTTAGGATGCCAAAGCGGATCACCTGAGGTCAGGTGTTCAAGACCAGCCTAGACAACATGACATGGCAAAACGCTGTCTCTACTAAAAACACAAAAATTAGCTGGGCGTGGTGGCGCACACCTGTAATCTCAGCTACTCAGGAGGCTGAGGCAGGAGAATAGCTTGAACCCAGGAGGTGGAGGTTGCAGTGAGCTGAGTGCCACTGCACTCCAGCCTGGGTGACACAGTGAGACTCTGTCTCCAAAAAAAACCATTAATAAAAAAACAAGAAGAAAAGGCCGGGTGGGGTGGCTCACGCCTGTAATCCCAGCACTTTGGGAGGCCAAGGCAGGAGCATCACCTGAGGTCAGGAGTTCAAGACCAACCTGGCCAACATGGGGAAACCCCGTCTCAACTAAAAATACCAAAAAAATTAGCTGGGCGTGGTGGCGGGCACCTGTAATCCCAGCTTTCAGGAGGCTGAGGCAGGAGAATTGCTTGAATCCGGGAAGCGGGGGTTGCAGTGAGCCAAGATCGAGCCATTGCACTCCAGCCTGAGCGAAACTCTGTCTCAAAAAAAAGAAAAAAAAATCATCAAGAAAGGAGTATGTGAAGAGACTGGGAACTTTTTTTGTCAGGAGGAGAGTCTGTCATTTGCTAGTGGGCACCAGCTTGACTGGAGACATTTGATCTAGATTTGGTTATGAAATTCACTTGCAAATCCCAGGTTTTCCAGGACAAAGAGTGAGTGTACGTAACTCTCATCCTTCCCTCAGCTATAAGGAGCCATCTTCTTAGGGAGTTATAACTTGGAGAAATATAAATGGGTCACTATAAATTATGTCAATGAAAACTGACAAACCTAAAAGGTCTACCTGGTTCTTGGGGGCTTTTGATATGAATTGTTTTTGTAAGGGACACAGTTTTAAAATTGTGTCTTTAAAGGCTGGGCGCTGTGGCTCATGCCTGTAATCCCAGCACTTTGGGAGGCTGAGGCGGGCGGACCACCTGAGGTCGGGAGTTCGAGACCAGCCTGACCAACATGGAGAAACCCTGTTTCTACTAAAAAAAAAAAAAAAAAAAAAAAAATAGCCGGGCATGATGGTGCACACCTGTAATCCCAGCTACTCAGGAGGCTGAGGCAGGAAAATCGCTTGAACCCGGGAGTCGGAGGTTGTGGTGAGCTGAGATCACACCATTGCACTCCAGCCTGGGCAACAAGGTCGAAACGCTGTCTCAAAGAACAACAAAAAAAAAATTTTTTTTTTAAATTGTATATTTAAGCACAAAATCAAGACCTTAGAAAAAACTGCTTCGTCAAGTTGATATACTTTTTCCCCCAAAATTTAAAATATTGGCTCACAGGAAAGTGTTGCAATGAGAACCGACGGTGAGGTCACACCAGAAAGAGATCACCCGTCAGGAGGAACGGAAAAGCTCGATAGCTGATTAGAAAACAGTCACTTACTCTTTTCTTTTTTTTTTTTTTAAACCACACATACACAAGCCTTCCAATAAGTCTAGGCCTCAGGGTTTGATGACTCACTACCACCTCCAGAAAAATTTAAAAATTTAACCATCACTACTTAAAACTCTAGCAAAGCCACACAAACACATTAAGTAAACCGAGGAAAGAACGGCAAGTGGGCCACAGAAGGCTCTCCCTGCGGGGATAAGGCTGTTAATTTGTCGACATAACGGGATTCTTTTAGAAGTAAAAGGCATAAATCTGCGTAACCAGCACCACCTTTTTTTTTTTTTTTTTTTTTTTTTTTTTTTTTGCCAAGCTTAATCAAGAAAGACGGAAGGGAGTTGCGTGTCCCTTCACTTTGTAGGATCGGATCCTGTCCACCCTGTTTCCGAATGCTCTCAACAGTTACCCAACCGCCTGTTTCAAGGGCTTCCCTGTTGCTCAGAATGCCACCTGGACACTGCTGGAAGGAAACTATCAGGGAGATAAGCTTCCCCTCCTCCCGGGCTGTGTACAGGTCCCCACTCAATCCAGCCCAGGGCAGAGTCCAAACGGCGAGGGAGAGATGCAGACAGGGTCAAAGGGACCCCAAGAGTCCAGCACATCTGGGAAAGAGAAAAAGTGCTGTGGCATCCTGCAGCTGGGGCGCACGCCAGCGCGCCCCCTTTCCTCTGGGAGGACCCCCGGCCCCCGTTCGTCCCCAAGCTCCCAGCCCGCCTCCGGGAGACCCACTGAGAGAAAAAACGTGTGGGGAACCCCCAGCAGCTCCAAACGCCGAGGCGCTCCCCGCGAGCCTCAGACCCGACCCAACCCTAGGACTCGCGCCACCGGCCCGCGAGGAAACCCCCACAGCCCGCGCCCCGGGCAGGCTGGAGGGTGGGGGCGGCTGGCCAGGCAGGGCGCCCAGGCCCGGGCTCCGGGAGCAGCCCGGCGGGCAGGGGAGACCGGGCCCGCAGGCCGGGTTTGGGGGTGTCCAGGCCGGGGCGGAGGGCCCGGGCGGTGAACCCCTCTGTGGGAACAAGGAGTCGGGGGGCGGCCCGGGCCTGGCGCCCTTCGCGGGGAGGCCGACTCCGGAGCGGCCCGGGCGGCCTGGGTCGGGGCCGGGGGAGGGGCCCGCAGGCCGCACCTGGTCGGCGAAGTCCTCAGCCGTGCCCATCAGGTCGTTCTGGCCCATGGCGACGGCGGGAGGCTCGGCTCGGCTCGGCTCGCTCGCTCGCTGGCCCTCGCCCGTCGGCGCCCGCGCCCGCTGCGGCCTCCACAGGAAGTGCCCGGCGGCCGGCCTCGCTCCGCGTCGGCTGCGGCTCCAGCGGCTGCCACGTAGGCCAAGCCTTAAAGGGGCCGCGCACCGCCCGGGTCCGCCCCTGCGCGTCTTAAAGGGGCCATGCACCGTCCCCAGCCTCCCGACCGGTCCGCTCGAAGCCACCCCTGCCGCGCTCGACGCCACGCCTCTCACGCTGGAGACCCCTCCCACCGCGCGCAGGCCCTGCGGCACCTCCCGGCCTGGAGGAACGCCTCCCCTTTAAGGGGGCAGGCCTGGGGGGGTCTGGGGCCAGCGCGCAGGAGGGACGCTTGGATGCCTCGAGGACGCCGTTCGGGCGGGGAGGGTCCCGCGGGTCCCACTGACCCACACGGGGTGGGGTCAGGGGTGGACGCTCGCCCGTACGCGGTAGCTACTGAACATGCTTGGGCCAGAGTCCGATGGCAGGCGCCCCACGCAGGGGGAGCGAGGCCCAGGGTACCCCGGAGAGCCCATGGACAAGTACCAGGTGCCGAGTGTTCCCTGCGGGGAGGCGGGGGCTCCGTGGGGTAACGGTCGCCAACCCTGGAGCTGCGGCCGGCGGTTCCGACCGAGGGCGGCGAGGGACCCGCGCCCTAGCTAGTGTTGGCCTCCAGCTCCTAGGTTGAACCCGGGGGGCCTCCAACGGTGACCTCCTGGGTGCCCTTTGCCACTCAGTTTTCCCCTTTGTGAATTGACTAAGGATTTTCCAGCCCTGGCTGAGTATTTGAGGGCGTGGGGCAGCTCCTCTATCCTTTGTGCCCGGGGTTTGGGCGCTTGGGTCCACCGAGGCAGGCCCCCCGGGAACATCCCGAATACGTAATTGGGAGCCCCCAGTCCCCTAAAAACACCCCTGCAGTGTGGGTCTTTGAAAATATTTGAGACCTAAAAAATTTACAAAACACAAAAGGAAAGCTGCAAAATAAAAGTGAATGTTTAATTAAATGCTTCTATACATGATATGTAAACTTTATTAAATGTTAGATTCAGCATTTGTGAAAACCGCATTCGCTTGGAAACAGTTTGCGGATTAGATTTTTGTCACTTGGGAAGAATTGTCTGTGTGTGAGAGGACTATAGGGCGTTGCCAGCAGTGACGCAGATGAGCTTCTGGTGGCCAGATAATTTTTAAAATAAAGTTACTTTTCAGGGAAAAAAAAAATAGACCTTTCAGGAATATACCTGCTTTTGGAAAAAAAATAGACTTGTTCTAAGATATGGGTCCATTTTACTGTTTAACTTGCTGCCTAAGCCTGCACGCTCTCACACCAGCTCTGCCCTCAGCCCCCTGTGGCTTAGAACAGCAGTCCCCGGCCAGGCTCGGTGGCTCACGCCTGTAATCCCAGCACTTTGGGAGGCCATGGCGGGCGGATCACCTGAGGTTGGGAGTTCGAGACCAGCCTGACCAACGTGGAGAAACCCTGTCTCTACTGAAAATACAAAATTAGCCGGGCGTAGTGGCGCATGTCTGTAATCCCAGCTACTCGGGTGGCTGAGGCAGGAGAATTGCTTGAACCCAGGAGGCAGAGGTTGTGGTGAGCCGAGATAGCACCATTGCACTCCAGCCTGGGCCACAAGAGCAAAACTCTCTCTCAGAAACAAAACACAACAAAACAAAAAAAACCAGCAGTCCCCAACCTTTTTGGCACGAGGGACCAGTTTTGTGGAAGACAATTTTTCCACAGACGGAGGCGGGAGGATGGTTTCGGGATGATTCAAGCACATTACACTTAGTGTGCAGTTCATTTCTATTATTATATTGTAATACATAATGAAATAATTACACAACTCACCATCATGTAGAATCAGTGGGAGCCCTGAGCTTGTTTTCTTGCAACTGGACGATCCTCTCTGGGGATGATAGGAGACAGTGACAGATCATCAGGCATTTGATTCTCATAAGGAGTGTGCAACCTGGATCCCTCACGTGCACTGTTCACAATAGGGTTCACACTCCTGTGAGAATCTAATGCTGCTGCTGAGCTGACAGGAGGTGGAGCTTGCGTGGTAATGCGAGCCATGGGGAGCGGCTGTATATACAGATGAAGCTTTGCTCCATTGCCTGCTGCTCACCTCCTCCTGTGCAGCCTGGTTCCTAAACAGGTCACAGACTAGGTTGGGGACCCCAGCTTAGAATATCCAGCAGGCTGCTCACAAGGCTGAATTACAGACTCCTAAATCTTTTATAGGCTCCGAGAGTCCCTAGGCTCAGGCTTCCATCCTCATATCTCCTCCTCTGGATCCTGCCCTCCCTCCCCCAATCCTCGGATGCATGTTAGCCTCCAGCAATCTCCCGCCCGGTCCCCAGCCCCATAGTACTTGGTCTCTGCACAGAGAGATGGTGGCCATCTCTCTGCAAATTTGTCTCAAATCACAGGCTGTAAGGTCAGACCCTCAGAGTTACCCCAGGCAGTGTCCTGCTTTCTAGTGACATAGCCTCAGGCAAGGACCTAGCTCCTTGTGCCTCAGTTTTCCCCAATGTAAACACAGAGGTAGCAATGGTGTCCACTGCATAGGGTGGCTGTGAGGTGCTTGGCACCATGCCAGGCACACAATGGCTTCCTGATTGTACCAGCCACAAGACTGGTTACTTTCTTGTTTGGAGGTGGATGCTGGAAGCTGAGGTCGCACGGGTCTACAGAGAGTGAATAAGCCCTTTTCCTCTGGGAGGTTCTTGCTCTTGAGTGCCCAGCCGGTCCTCATTGCAGTTTGGGGGAGGGATATAGGGTTGTAGAAGAAAGAGCTCCAGAATCGGCCCCAAATAGGTGAGATCAGAGTCCTGCCATTGAAAGGCTTCTTGCCCTCCTTGGGCCGTTTCCTCTCTTGCAAGATGGGGTGGAGCCACTTGCTCTGCCAGCCTGACAGGGGAGTTACCGGGACCGAAAAAGGAGCTGGAGCTGGGCTTCTGGAAAGGGATAAGTTGTGTGCATTTCCTGAAAGCTTTTCTCTTCCTTGCTGGTAGGTTTTGTACCAGCTGAATCCTGGGGCCTTGGGGGTGAACCTGGTGGTGGAGGAAATGGAAACCAAAGTCAAGCGTGTGATAAAGCAGGTAAGAGGCCAAGCCTGTGCATCCCACGCCAGGTGGTTCTGTGGCTGTGATTTTCCCCAACACAAGCTCTTCCCATGTTGGAGAAGCTTCCTGATGCGGCAGCTAGATTCCTCGCTGCCAGCACTCCCAGAGACAAATCTGGTTGGGGTAGACGTGGGGGTGCGTGAAGCTCTGTCACCTTGATGGGGAAGCAATGCTAATTTTTACTCCATCACCACCACCTCCTACCATTTACACATCACGTGCTGTATGCCAGGCACCGACTCACTTCATCTCCCGTCAACCATGTAAAGCAGAAACAATGACCCTGTTTATAGCCAAAGACAGTGAGGCTCAAGGCAGCGCCAGACTAGCCAAGGTCACACAATTTCCCAGAGGATTTGAATTCAGGCCACCTCATTGGGGGACACCGTGCTACCCAGTGCTGGGTCACCAGTTTTACCAAAAGGGAGCCAAGCCCAGAGAGGATGGGGACTGGCTCAAGGTCACACAGGGCTAAGGTCACATACCAGGCCCTGAGCCCTTCCACCGCACTCCTCACCAGGGCTAGCAGGGCATAGGGAGGTGTAGGCCTGCAGGACAGCCCTTTGTGTGTCCGAGACAGGGAGGTCCAGATCAACAGAGGGACTAGGGTGAGAGAGCTGCTGCAAGAGTCCCTGGCACGCCCTCCTCTCTGTGGTGGTGGCAGGGACCCAGCAGGTTTAGGGCTGGCCGCGCAGCAGGAGGAGCCTTGTCAGAAGCCGCTACTGGGCCAGGCCTCAGTCTGTGCAGCTCCGCAGCCTCACCCTGAATGGTTGGGCCTGGAGTCCTTGCCCCTGCCCTGCTCCCTTGCTGGCTGTCTGTGGGGTTGGCCCCCTTGTCTCACAAGCCACTGAGGCAGAGTGGCTGACTGCTCTCTGAGCAATTAAGGAGCTTTGTGTGTGTGTGTGTGTGTGTGTGGTTTTTTTTTTCAGAGATAGAGTCTTGCTCTGTCGCCCAGGCTGGAGCGCAGTGGTGCAATCTCAGCTCACTGCAACCTCTGCCTCCCGGGTTCAAGCAATTCTCCCGCCTCGGCCTCCCGAGTAGCTGGGACCACAGGCACACGCTGCCACGCCTGGCTAATTGTATTTTAGCAGAGACAGGGTTTCACTGTGTTGCCCAGGCTGGTCTCAAACTCCTGAGCTCAGGCAATCCGCCTGCCTCGGCCTCCTAAGTGCTGGAATTACAGGCGTGAGCCACCGCACCCAGCCTGAGGAGCTTTTAAAAATGTCAGCCATGACTAGGCATGGTGGCTCATCCCTGTAATCCCAGCACTTTGGGAGGCTGAGGCAGGTGGATCCCTTGAGGTTAGAAGTTCGAGAGCAGCCTGGCCAACATGGTGAAACCCCATCTCTACTAAAAATACAAAAATTAGCCGAGCATGGTGATGAGTGCCTGTAATCCCGGCTACTTGGGAGGCTGACGTTGAAGAATCACTTGAACCCGGGAGGCGGAGATTGCAGTGAGTCAAGATTGCGTCACTGCACTCTAGCCTGGGTGACAGAGCCAGACTCTGTCTAAATTAATTAATTAAATTAAAAATAAAAATATCAGCCAATTATTTCTAAATAAAAATTGGGGAAGGAGAGTGTAGGTAGGAGTTTATGGGTTCTTCCAGTCTTTTTTCCTAAGACTTTGTAAATTTTTTGGGGGAGAATGGTATTGTTAAAGTTGATAGCATGCTTTTTATATTGCAAGCATTCCCACAGCCTCCTCCTCTCCTGGCTCTGGCAGCTGTGTGGCCTCCTGTCTTGCTTGATGTGCTGTAGCTGACCCAAGCCATCCCTATCACACGGGCTGAGTATTGAGCTTGTTCTCAATTTTTCACTTTGTGTAAACAGCTCTGATAAAGATGCTTATAGCATTATGGGTTTTTTGTTTTTTGTTTTTTGTTTTTTGTTTGTTTTTTTTTTTGAGACAGAGTCTCGCTTTGTAGCCCAGGCTGGAGTGCAGTGGCCGGATCTCAGCTCACTGCAAGCTCCGCCTCCCGGGTTTACGCCATTCTCCTGCCTCAGCCTCCCGAGTAGCTGGGACTACAGGCACCCGCCACCTCGCCCGGCTAGTTTTTTTTTTTTGTATTTCTTAGTAGAGACGGGGTTTCACCGTGTTAGCCAGGATGGTCTCGATCTCCTGACCTCATGATCCGCCCGTCTCGGCCTCCCAAAGTGCTGGGATTACAGGCTTGAGCCACCGCGCCCGGCCTGTTTTTTGTTTTTTTTTTAGCATCCATGATTTCCTTAGGAAAAATTCCTAGGAGTGAGATTTCTGGGTCATACAATGTAACTTTTTTTTTTTTTTTTTTTTTTTTTTTTTTTGAGATGGAGTTTTGCTCTTGTTGCCTAGGCTGGAGTGCGGTGGTGTGATCTCGGTTCACTGTAACCTCTGCCTCCCGGATTCAAGTGATTCTCCTGCCTCAGCCTTCCTGAGTGGCTGGGATTACAGGCATGTGGCACCACGCCTGGCTAATTTTGTATTTTTAGTAGACGGGGTTTCTCCACTAGCATGGAGAGGATGCTCAGGCTGGTCTCGAACTCCCGACCTCAGATGATCCGCCCACCTTGGCCTCCCAAAGTGCTGGGCTTATAGGAGTGAGCCACCACAGCTAGCCTTTTTTTTTGTTTTTTGTTTTTTTTTTTTTTAAGACGGAGTCTCGCTTTTGTTGCCCAGGCTGGAGTGCAATCGCGTGATCTTGGCGCACTGCAACCTCCTTCTCCCAGGTTCAAGTGATTCTCCTGCCTCAGCCTCCTGAGTAGCTGGGATTACAGGCATGCGCCACCACACCTGGCTAATTTTGTATTTTTAGTAGAGACAAGGTTTCTCCACGTTGGTCAGTCTGGTCTCAAACTCCCGACCTCAGGTGATCTGCCCGCCTCGGCCTCCCAAAGTGCTGGGATTACAGGCGTGAGCCACTGTGCCCAGCCACGATGTAGCATTTTCAAGCCTTTCTATATGTTTTGGCCAACTTCACCTCCTCATATGCCCCCTGGGACAGGAGGAAAGGAAGACAGGAAGGCTCACACAGTGTCTTTGCCCTGGATTCCACGGGACAGTGCCACTGGCATCTCAGGTCTCTCCATAGATCTGGGAACAATTCACTAACTTTACATGATGGTCTGCAATCACCCCATTATAAGAGTACTTCATTCATAAGTCTTTTGAGCAACATTCTGGGTGAAGATCTGGTATTAGAGCCAGTGGTAGTATACACCTAGGGCCTGTGCCACCAAGCGTGCTGCAGACTTAAAGCTGTGTGCTTCCCTTGCCACCGGGTTCCCTTCCCTTTCCATGCCCCCCCACCTCCACCCGGAGAAGGCGCAGGAAAGAGAGAAGAGCACTGCACATTCCATGCATAGAGACAACCTTCCCCATGTGGGTAAGGAATGAAGTGGTGCGATTGATGCTTTCCCAACCAGAACAAGATGTTCCTGTTTAAAGATGGTCTGAAAATGGATCCTTTACTGATTTCTTGGAATTTATATTATGCTGTCCTAAACTTATCTTTGCAACAGGAGCAGAGATGTTCTCATTGCTCTAAGTATTTTTAGATCTCTGCCTTAGGAATATCTTCCGTTTGTGCCATATGGTGGGGGCAGGAATGGTGGGAGCCTGTCACTCCTGCTAAATAATGATGATGGTGGTGATGATGGAGGTGGCAATGATGGTGGTAGTGGTGGTGATGGTGGTGGCAGCTAGATGGTGATGATAATGGTGATGGTGTGATGATGGTGATGGTGGTGCTGGTGATGGTCGTGGTGATGTGATGATGGTGATGGTGGTGGTGATGGTGTGATGGTGTGATGGTGGTGGTGGTGGTGGTGGTGTGATGGTGATGGTGCGATGATGGTGATGGTGGTGCTGATGATGGTCATGGTGATGTGATGATAGTGATGGTGGTGGTGATGGTGTGATGGTGTGATGGTGGTGGTGGTGGTGGTGGTGGTGTGATGGTGATGGTGGTAATGATGGTGATGATGGTGGTGATGATGGTAATGATGGTGATGATAGTGGTGATGGTGACGATGGTGTTGATGGTGTGATGATGGTGATGGTGTAATGGTGATGGTGGTGGTGGTGTGATAGTGATGGTAATGATGTTGGTGATGGCAATGATGATGGGGATAATAGTGGTGATGATGACGGTGGTGTTGATGGTGTGATGGTGGTAATGACAGTGGTGGTGGTGATGGTGTGATGATGGTGAAGGTGGTGATGATGGTAATGATTTTGATGATGGTGATGATTGTGTGATGATGCTGATGATGGTGGTGATGGTGATTTTGGTAATGATGGTTATGAAGGTGATGATAGTGGTGATGGTGATGGTGGTGGTGATGGAGTGATGGTGGTAATGGTGGTGGTGTGATGATGATGATGGTGATGGTGATGATGATGGTGGTGATGGTGATGATGATGGTAATGATGGTGATGATGGCAGTGATGGTGATGGTGGTGATGATGGTGGTAATGATGATGTTAATTATGGTGATGGTGGTGGTGACGGAGTGATGGTGGTAATGGTGGTGGTGTGATGGTGATGATGGTGATGATGGTGGTGATGGTGATGGCAGTGATGATGGTGGTAATGATGATGGTTATGATGGTGATGATAGTGGCAATGGTGACAGTGGAGGTGATGGAGTGATGGTAATGGTGATGGGAATGATGATGGTGATGATGGTGATGACAGTGGTGATGGTGATGGTGATGATGGCAGTCATGGTGATGGTGGTGATGATGGTGGTAATGATGGTGATGGTGGTGGTGATGGAGTGATGGTGGTAATGATGGTGGTGTGATGATGGTGATGGGGATGATGGTAATGATGGTGGGGATGGCGGTGATGATAGTAATAATGGTGATAGTGGTGATGGTGATGGTGGTGATGATGGAGTGATGATGGTAATGGTGGTGGTGGTATGATGATGGTGATGATGGTGGTGATGGTGATGGTGGTAATTGTGGTAATGATGATGTTAATGATGGTGATGATAGTGGTGATGGTGGTTCTGATGGAGTGATGATGGTAATGGGGGTGGTGGTGGTGTAATGATGGCGATGGCGGTGATGGTAATGATGGTAATGATGGTGATGATGGTGGTGATGGTGATGATGTGATGGTGATGATGGTGGTGATGGTGATGATGATAGTAATGATGGTGATGATGGCAGTGATGGTGATGGTGATGGTGGTGGTAATGATGATGTTAATGATGGTGATGACAGTGATGGTGGTGGTGATGGAGTGATGGTGGTAATGGTAGTGGTGGTGGTGTGATGATGGTGATGGCAGTGATAGTGATGATGGTAATGATGGTGATGATGGTGGTGATGGTGACAGTGATGGTGGTGATGGTTGTGGTTGTGGTAATGATGGTGATGGTTGTGGTGGAGGTGGTGGTTGTGGTGATGATGGTAATGGTTATGGTGGTGGTGGTGATGGTGGTGATAATGGAGATGATTTGCTACATGTTTATTAAGTTCATGCTCTTGTGCCCTTGCAGGTGGAATGCATGGATGACCATCAAGCCAGTCAGGCCCTGGAGGAGGTAACTCTCAGGGTGGTTTCCCCTCTGGAAGAGCTCAATGGAGCATACACGGACTGTGTTCTGTACCTTCTTGTTGAGTGCCTGGGTAAAAGGAAGGCTGGAGGGAGGGATAGAGCATCAGCACCAGTTTTGCCTCAGCTGTGAAGCCAGCAGCCCCAGGTCATGAAGGGAGGCCATGCCCCAAACACTCACTGCTAAATGCAGGTGCCAACAACTTAGAACATATATTCCCAGAGAACATAAAGTTTAAATATTGGGCTGCACACAGTGGCTCACGCTTGTAATCCCAGCACTTTGGGAGGCTGAGGAGGGTGGATCACCTGAGGTCAGGAGTTCAAGACCAGCCTAGCCAACATGGGGAAACCCCATCTCAACTAAAAATATAAAAAAATTAGCTGGGCATGGTGGTGAGTGCCTGTAATCCCAGCTACTTCGGGAGGTTGAGGCGGGAGAATCGCTTGAACCTGGGAGGCGGAGGTTGCAATGAGCCGAGATCACAGCATTATATTCCACCCTGGGCAATAGAGCAAAACTTCGTCTCAAAAATAAATAAATAGGCCGGGCGCGGTGGCTCAAGCCTGTAATCCCAGCACTTTGGGAGGCCGAGATGGGCGGATCACGAGGTCAGGAGATCGAGACCATCCTGGCTAACACGGTGAAACCCCGTCTCTACTAAAAAATACAAAAAACTAGCCGGGCGCGGTGGCGGGCGCCTGTAGTCCCAGCTACTCGGGAGGCTGAGGCAGGAGAATGGCGTGAACCCGGGAGGCGGAGCTTGCAGTGAGCTGAGATCCGGCCACTGCACTCCAGCCTGGGCGGCAGAGCGAGACTCCGTCTCAAAAAAAAAAAAAAAAAAATAAATAAATAAATAAATAAATAAATAAATAAATAAATATTGGCGGCCGGGCGCGGTGGCTCACGCCTGTAATCCCAGCACTTTGGGAGGCCGAGGCGGGTGGATCACGAGGTCAGCAGATCGAGGCCATCCTGGCTAACACGGTGAAACCCCGTCTCTACTAAAAATACAAAAAATTAGCCGGGCGTGGTGGTGGGCACCTGTAGTCCCAGCTACTCGGGAGACTGAGGCAGGAGAATGGCGTGAACCCCGGAGGCGGAGCTTGCAGTGAGCCGAGATCACGCCACTGCACTACAGCCTAGGTGACAAAGCGAGACTCCGCCTCAAAAAAAAAACAACAACAACAACAACAAAAAATATTGGCCAGGTCCCTAGGTTAATCTACCAATAACTGTTTTTTAAATATTTTTTCTTCAATATAAAATTATTAATTACAGAAGAAAATTTTTTAAATACAGAATTGGGTTTTCTTTTGCTTTTACCTTTTTTTTTTCTTTAATAACAATGGAGTCTCACCATTTTGCCCAGGCTAATTTTGAACTTCTGGGCTCAAGCAATCCTCCCACCTCGGCCTCCAAAGTGCTGGGGTACAGGCATGTACCACCACGCTCATACCAGAATTGTTTAACAAAGCAAATGTAAATTATCCTTCATTCTACCATTCAGAGCTGCCCAGCAGTAACATAGTCATTTACAATAATAGCGATAACAGCTACACTTGGGTTTGATTGGCAAAGCCTCTGAGTAGCCTTTTTTTGTGTTTCTTGAATTTCCCACGAGCTTGAAGGTGTCCCTTCCTATCTCATGGTCACTTGTTTGTCTTCTGGAATTGCTGGCTCTGCAGCTTGGCCAGCAAACATTATTCGGTGTATAGTGTGACTGAAGCACAGTGGTGGGCCCAGGCTACTCGGTAACAAATGGGAAGAAAGAGCATGGGGGCCCACCCAGAGCCCCACGCCGCCATGGCTTTTCCCGTTGCTGATTCAATTCCACGGCCCACTAGGCCAGCTCCTTCCTTCCACCACAAGCAGTTGTCTGTCTGGCTCCATGTCTCTAAGGCAGCCCTGTCTGCTCCTGTTTGGGCATGTTTCAAAGCACTTTCCGCCAGGGCAGGGGGCACTGGGACCTCTCCATGGGCCCACCTCCCGGTGGCTGCACCACCTCCTCCGGCCAGCCCTGGCTGTGGCTGATCCCCACCTTCCTGGCACTGCCTGCCACAGCTCACTCAGTCCCCGTGGCATCCCTGTGAGGCAGATTCCACTGGGACCCCCATTTTCAGATGACAATATGAGGCCCAGTCACCCAGCACAGCCAGCACATGCTGGAGACAGGACTCACATCGGACTGCCTGGCTCCTAACCACCGTGCAGCCTCCCTGAGCCCGCTCCCCGGCCCGGCTCAGAGCCCGAGGCTTGCATGTTTCTTGGGATGTGTGACAGAGAAGCCCGAGCTGAGAAAGGCGTGAAGAGGCGCTGACTTCTCCGTTTCCTCTGCTCTCATCCTGGCAGCTGATGCCACTGCTGAAGCTGCGGCACGCCCACATCTCCGTGTACCGGGAGCTGTTCATCATGTGGAATGGGGAGGTGGGTCAGAGCTGACGTCTACGGGCTCAGCCGCCGCGTGGTGGGCTGTGGGACCAAGCCGAGTGAGCCCAGAGCACGCCCACCCCCCTCCGTCAGAATAGCTCGTGTGGCAATGGCAGTGACTCTAAATGTGGCCATACCTGACCTGACACTCACCGGGGCCAGGTACCATGCTGGGGGCTTTCCGTGCATGGTCTTGTAGGAGCCCCAACAACCTCATTAGGAGGGTTTTTTTTTTTTTTTTTTGAGACAAAGTCTCGCTCTTGTCCCCCGGGCTGGAGTGCAATGGCATGATCTTGGCTCACTGCAACCTCTGCCTCCCGGGTTCAAGCGATTCTCTTGCCTCAGCCTCCCAAGTAGCTGGGATTACAGGCGCGTGCCATGACGCCCAGCTAATTTTTATATTTTTAGTAGAGACGGGGTTTCACCATATTGGCCAGGCTAGTGTCGAACTCCTGACCTTAAGTGATCCACCTGCCTCAGCCTCCCAAAGTGCTGGGATTACAGGCTTGAGCCACCACGCCTGGCCAGGAGGGGTTCTCAACCCATTTGACAGAAGAAGAGACAGAGGCTAACAGAAACAAGTTGCTCCAGTTTAGCCAGCTAGTACGTGACCAAGTCAGAGGGCCAGGCGAGGTGGGCCTGATTCCCGGGCTCTGCACACAGCCACCGAGCTTGTGCTGGTGAGCCTGTGCCTCTGATGACAGAGTTTCTACTTTCATGGAAGGAGCTAGTTGACCCCCGTCTCCACAGCCACCCGACGCAAGTGCTGTCCTGGGCCTGTGCGCCCCTTCCTCCTGCAGCCCCTGTGCAGCTTACTGACCAGCACCACATCCGTCATCACGTGCCAGGAGGGCTGCAGGGCAGGAAGCACGGTCCCTGTGCTCCTGATGGGGCCTAGGGCTCTGGTTCAGGAGCTCTCCAAGGCCACAAAGCTAGTAAACAGCTGACTGGGGACGGAGACTCAGGTCCGGCAGCCGGGTCCTGTAGGCTGGATGACTTCTTGTCTTTACAAGGAGCCTGGAGCTTTCCAGTCACTTCCAATGTGTCTGAGGCAGACAGCGGGAGGCTGAGAAGGCACAAGGGGTGCTGGAGGTAAAGAGAGGCCGAGAAGCCTTATGCCGGGCGCCAGCCTGCATGAGACGTCCACACTGGCGTTCCCACCTGGGGCCAACAATCCCGGGTCTGAGCAGGAAAGGCCCCTTACATGCTCCTTCTGCTCCAACTGGGTCTCGGGGAGGGGACCTCACGGCATGCACTCCCAGAGATTTTTCTGAGCACCCACTAATGCTCTCAAGGAGGGTGCAGAGAAGCCAAGAGGACATTTCCCTATGGGAGGGAGCACAGAACTGGGGGCCCTGACCCGGTCTGCTGGGGCTCTGGCCAGAGCAGGCTCCTCAAAGGAAATGGATCTGAGCTGAGCCCTAAAGAGTGAGTAGTTATCCCCATGAAGGGGGTAGGTAGTGGTCCAGGCAGAGGGGTCTAGGTGTGCAGTGGCCAGGGGACAAGTGCAGCTTTCGGGAAAGTCCAAGTAGCTTGGTGTGGATGGAGTGTGGAGTGGGGGTGGGGCCTGGGAATGGGGAGAGGAGAGAGGAAACTGAAGGTGGGGCAGGAGGGGCTTGTAGCCCCCTCCAGTGGGCAGTGCTCCCACGACCACTGCGGATGGCAGCTGAGTGCAGGGAGGCCCTGGAGCAGGCGAGCCTGTAGAAGCATGGGGGCCTGGGCATCGCCTGGATAAGGGCCTCCTGTCCCAGCAGATCTCTTCTCTGTACCTCTGCCTGGTGATGGAGTTCAACAAGCTCAGCTTCCAGGAGGTCATTGAGGATAAGAGGAAGGCAAAGGAAATCATTGACTCTAAGGTAAGATCCTCTGGGCACCAGGCCTGGGGGCCATCTAGACCTGTGACACAGGCCCTGCAGCTCGGGGCAAAGTGACAGCGGGAAGGCAGGCACCATGGAGTCCAGCCTTGTTTTTTTCTTAAATGTATGCCTCGAGGCATTGCACCCTAGGACGCGTGCAGATCTTAAGTGCACAGTTTGATGCACTCATACAACTTCTACCCAGATCAAGGCAGAAGGCGTTCCTAACCACAGAAGGTTCCCAGTCGGTGACCATGATTCCAGATTGTTCTGCCGGTCGGTCCCTGAAGTTCACGTAAATGGACTCCTCCGGCATGCCGCGCGCTCCTGTCTGGTCTCCTTCCCTCGGCTGCTGCATGCACCCGCAAATCATCTGTGCTCATTGCTTGCTGCCACTCTGCTGCCTGGCTGCCCGGCAGGCTGGTTCCCTAGTCTTGTGTGGATAAGCACCTGGCCTCGCTGCAGGCTGTTTCCCTAGTCTTGTGTGGATAAGCATGTGGGCTGCTTCCAGTTTGGGGCCATTGTGAATAAGGCTGCTATGAGCATTGCTGGAAGGCACTCACTTTTCTGGGATGAATACCTAGGAGTGGAATTATTGGGTCGTAGAGTAGGTGTGTGTGTAGCTTTGGTAGATGCTCCAAACAGATTTCCAACGTGGTTTGGTTGGCCCCATGTTTACTCTCACAAGCTGTGAGCATTCCCGGTCCACATGGCGGCCAGCGCTTCACTGTGTCAGTCTTGTTGTTGTCGTTGTTGAGATGGAGTCTCACTCTGTCACCCAGGCTGGAGTACAATGCACGATCTCGGCTCACTGCAACCTTCGCCTCCTGGTTCAAGTGATTCTCCTGCCTCAGCCTCCCAAGTACCTGGGACTAAAGGTGCCCACCATCACACCCAGCTAATTTTTGTATTATTAGTAGAGACAAGGTTTTGCTATGTTGCCCAGGCTGGTCTTGAACTCCTTACCTCAAGTGATCCGCCCGCCTCAGCCTCCCAAAGTGCTGGGATTACAGGCGTGAGCCACCGCGCCCAACCAGTTCACTTTCTTAATGATGTCTTTTGATGACACAAAGTCCTAACTGTAATGAAGTTCGCTTTCCCAATGCTATCTCTTATGGTTAGTGCCTTTGGAGTTTAGGAAGCCTTTTGTGCTCCAAGGTCATGAAGATACTCTCCTCGGTTCTGGAAGTTTGGTCATTTTTGCCTTCGCATTTAGATCTTTCATCTCCCTCAGAAGAATGCTGCCTGCTTTTACCCTGAGAATGGTGTTTGGTGGGACCATGTGCCCCTGAGGGGCTCTTCGGGGCACACAGCTCTTCTCTTACTGTGGGCCTCAGAGGCAGGCCCAAAGTGGGTTTCAGACTTTGAGTGAAGCCCTTAAAACACGAAATGTTCCCAGAAACCCAGTAAGTGCAGCAGACCTACTCTAACTGGGGAGAGTGGGAGGATGCCCACGTCCTGCCCCCTCAGCCCCTCTCTGACACCCCAGGGTGGCCCTGAATCCAGGGACCCTAGGAGCCCAGCTTCAGAACCACCGCCCTGGGTACTCGGTGGAGCTTGTCTCTGACGCCGAACACTCCCAGCATTCTCTCTCAGGGTTCTTTTCATTAGAATGACTTAGAGGAGCGAGCTCGTGTAGGCACTGAAGGCTTCCACCCCTCCCATACCCGCAAGGCTGATCTGCCTTCAGCTCCCGGCAAGTGTGGGGCAGTGCGGGCCGCAGGGTGGGGTGCAGGGATGGGGCCCTGCAGCACCCGGGGTCTCTGGTATAGAGACAGCAGTGTGGAGTCTGGAAACTCTGAGTCCTTCTGGCTGCCGCCGCGGCTTTACCATCTGGAGAGCCACCACACTGAAGCCTCCTCCACCCTGAGCGCTTGGCTGGCTTCAGGCCTGTCTCAAGATGCAGGGAGAGAAAACACCACCATCCTGCTGGCTGCTCTGAGTGTCACCCCCCGAAAGCAGCGCAGGGCGCCCCTCCCATCCTGGCACCCCCTGCTTCTCCCCCAGTGGATGCAGAATGTGCTGGGCCAAGTGCTGGATGCGCTGGAATACCTGCACCATTTGGACATCATCCACAGGTGAGTGGGGCCCCTGACCTCCCTGGACTGGTGGGCTGCTTCGGGAGAAAAGGCACTGAGGCCACTCGGGTGCCAGTGCCCGTGGGCAGGATCTGGGGAGAAAGGCGCACTGGGCCAGTGCAGCCAGGATAGGATGGGGACCTTCCAGACCTCCTCCCGGGCTCAAAAGAGGCTCTTCCAAGTGCTCTCAAGCCATGTGCGCACGCACAGCTGCATGGGGTGTGCGCTAGCCAGGCGGGCTGCTCTAGAGTTCATGGAAAGGAAGGAGGCAACAGCCCTGCCAGGAAGAGAGACCAGGCTGCCTGCCGTGGCGCCGGTGTGGGCTGAGTGGGCCCTGCTGAGCCTTTGACCACCCAGCGGCACAGCATCAGGCTGGAGAATCCACGGTCTGAAGGGGCTGGGAGATGGCTCCAATTCTGAACACCAATATCTTATTTAAAGAGGAAGAGGGAAACCATGTGACTGGGCATGGTGGCACATGCCCGTGGTCCCCGCAACATGGAGGCTGAGGTGGGAGGATTGCTTGAAGCCAGGAGCTTGAGGCTTCAGTGAGCTATGATCGTGCCACCGCACTTCAGCCTGGGCAACCCTGACTTAAAACACACCGATACACACACACACATACACACACACCACGCAGACCATGTGTACAAAGGGAATGCTTCACATTCCACATTCAGTGTCACGTCACTAGACATCGCACAATGGCCAACAATCAATACCCAGTCAAATGCATCGCTGGGCTATCTAAGGAGGTGAACATGTCAACCCAGGGACCTTTCCGGGTGTTGGGGGTGTTCCTACTTGTGGTTGGAGATTCTTCCCCCGGTTTAAAATAATTGAGTACATTTCTGTACATAGAAACAACTGCTTAAAAAGTAGGCTGAGATGGGGCATTTTGTGGAGGGGAGGAGGGTGTGGGCTGCTGCCTCAGAACCGGGTGGGGCAGGGAGCAGAGAGTCAGGCTCAGCACGCACGTTAGTCCCACCTGGAGTCGGGGGTGGTGGCTGCCCAGGTGGCCCCTTGCCACCCAGAGGCGAACCCCCCTCTTGGTTTCAGGAATCTCAAACCCTCCAACATCATCCTCGTCAGCAGTGACCACTGCAAACTGCAGGACCTGAGCTCCAACGTGCTAATGACGAACAAAGCCAAATGGAATATCCGTGCGGAGGAAGGTGGCAGGGGCTCCCCTAAGTCGTGGGAGAGGGGGTTGGCGCCTAGGATCCAGACGGTGGTGGCCACTCTGGGTGCTGGAGTGAGGCAACATCAAACAGCTGTTTGCTCAGAAGGTCCCCACAAAGCCCTAGCCTTGTGTGGACCTCAAAGAGACCTCCTTTGGGTTGTAACTGAGCAGGCGTGCCACCACCAGGGCAGAGGCAGGGCCCCAAAGACACCCAGCATTTGAGAGAAACAAAGTCGTGGTTGTTTGTGATACCCCAGAAAATGTTGCTTCTCAGGGAGGGAAAAGAAAGCTTCGGAAGGAAGGAAACGAAAATGCCCAGGACGGAGGGTCTGTGGGTGCCACGCACTGACTGCGTGTAGATCACTGAGTCCTAAAACAACCCAGGAGATGACTGGGGTGGGTGGCAAGGGGAGACGAGTTCTCGTTCCTTCGAAAAGATGGCCGGAGAAAGGAGGCTAGAGAGAGTAACCACAGAGGAGGAGTCCGGAGTCCAGAGTCCCAGGGTGGCAGTGGCTGGTTGCACTCTGTCCTTGGTAGACAAAAGATGAATGAGTAGATGGGTACATAGATGGGTGGGTGTGTGGTTAGGTGGGTGGGTGAGTGGATGGTGGGTGAGTGGATGGATGGATGGATGGATGCGTGGGTGGGTGAGTGGATGGATGGTAGGTGAGTGGACGGATGGATGGATGGATGGTGAGTGGATGGATGGATGGATGCGTGGGTGGGTGAGTGGATGGATGGATGGATGGATGGTGGGTGAGTGGATGGATGGATGGATGGATAGGTGGGTGGGTAAGTGGATGGTGGGTGAGTGGATGGATGGATGGGTGGATGGGTGGGGTGAGTGAGTGGATGGATGGATAAGTGGGTGGATGGATGAATAGGTGGGTGGGTGGGTGGGTGGATGGATGGATGGATGGATGGATAGGAGGGTAGGTAGGTGGGTGAGTGGATGGATGGATGGATAGATGGGTGGGTGAGTGGATGGGTGGGTAGGTGAGTAGATGGATGGATGGGTGGATGGGTGTGTGGTTGCATAGGTGGGTGTATGGGCAGATGGGTGAATGCATGGGTTGTGGACGGTTGGGTAGGTGAGTAGATGGATGGGTGGGTGGGTGCGTGTGTGGATGGATGTGTGGGTGGGTGGGTATATGGATGGATTGGTGGGTGTGTGGATGGATGGGTGGGTGGATGAGTGAGAGTGAGTGAATGAGTGGGTGGGTGGGTGAGTGGATGGATGAGTGGATGAGTGGATGGATGGATGGATGGATGGGAGGGTGGGTAAGTGGATGGGTGGGTGGGCAGGTGGGTGGGTGAGTCAGTGGATGGATGGATCGATCGATGGGTAAGTGAGTAGATGGATGGATGGGTGGATGGGTGTGTGGTTGGAGCGGTGGGTGTGTGGGCGGATGGGTGAGTGCATGGGTTGTGGACGGATGGTTGGGTGGGTAGATGGATGGATGGGTGGGTGCGTGTGTGGATGGATGTGTGGGTGGGTGGGTGTATGGATGAATGGATGGATGGGTGGGTGTGTGGGTAGATGGGTGGGTGTGTGGATGGATGGATGGGTGGGTGAGTGAGTGAATGAGTGGGTAGGTGGGTGAGTGGATGGGTGGGTGGATGGATGGATGGATGGATGGATGGGGTGTGTGTGGATGGATGTGTGGGTGGGTGGGTGGGTGTATGGATGAATGGATGGATGGGTGGGTGTGTGGGTAGATGGGTGGGTGTGTAGATGGATGGATGGGTGGGTGAGTGAGTGAATGAGTGGGTAGGTGGGTGAGTGGATGGGTGGGTGGATGGATGGATGGATGGGGTGTGTGTGGATGGATGGGTGAACAGACAGGCAGATGGTTGTTTCTATTGGAGGTGTAGATGGCACGCGTCCTTGGTGTCCAGCTCTTTACTGTTGGGCTGGGGAATGGAGGTCCAGAGAAGGAGGGGCTGCCTGAGGCCAACCAGGGACTGATGGACTCAGAGGAGTCTGCTCTTTTGCCTCCCTGTCTGGGGTTCCAGTTTAGAAAGTAGGGCAGAGCAACTGTAACTTTGCCCCCAAGGTCCTGACATTCAGAAGGGGCAAGAAGTTTAGAGGGGTGCACAGTTTCTTGGCACGTGCCTCTTCTATCTCCTTCTACAGCCATCTTTGGCACACAGACACACCACCCATACGGGCCAACCTGGTGGGCACCCGCCAAGATGGACAGCTTCAGTGGCTCCAGATCAACACAAAGCTCCTGCTGACTGGGGCTTCTTCCTCCCCACAGTTAATATTCTCCACCTCTTCTGAGAAGAGGAGCTGCAGGGCTCGTGTTGTGTTTCAAGCTGCCTGTGAGGGGCCACCACAGGGGGATACAATGCTAGGCAGGATGACTCTTGTCAAGCCCGTGCCCCCAGGGAGCGAAGGACTCAGGGATCCCACCTTGCTCTTACCAACAGACCCCTTTCATAAGTCCTGGATGGCCCCTGAAGCCCTCAACTTCTCCTTCAGCCAGAAATCAGACATCTGGTCCCTAGGCTGCATCATTCTGGACATGACCAGCTGCTCCTTCATGGATGTGAGCTGCCCTCCCTCCCCCACACCCCACATGCTGCTCTCCATGCACCCAGGCCTGGGGAGAAGGCTTGGCCTCACCCTGCCTCCCCTCCGCATCCCTTCCCCTGACTCTCTGCAGGCTGCACAGAGCCCCCTCCTCCACTTGTGGGGGGCCTGCCCTCCTCAGAACCCCCCAGCATGCAGCACCTGCTGGGCTCTAGCAGGATGACAGCAGTGGTAATATTCAGACCATCCCACGCGACCCTCACAGCAGCCCTCCAGGTGGTGTCACTGACTCTTAATGGAAAAAAAGCCAAATTCAGGTGCCCTTGTTGAGCATGAAGGCTGCACGGAGTTGCAAGCAACAGAAACCCAGCGTGGGCCTGAACACACCCGGCTGCCTCATGCACAAGCCCCAGGCTGGTGTGGAGGCACCTTCTCTCCTCCTGCACATCCTTAGCACGTAGCTCTTTCTCTCATCCCTGCTGGGGCCCCTGCACCATGGCCACAGCCTGTGGGCAGGAAGGAGGGGAGGCAGAGGGCCCCACTGGCCCCGTGAGCACTCCGAGGTCACTCTGGCTGCAGGGAGGCAGGGAAGTCCAGCCTGTTGCTTCCTACCCTCTATATGCAGAAGAGAAAGTGGGGAAGGCCTGCCATGCCCCAAACAAGGAAGCTCCCCTTCTCCGCAGCGCCACCTGCAGGCACCGAGGTCCCCAGAAAGGACAGACACCTGACTGGGCCCAGGTCCCTCATGCTCTCCCAGACCCCCAGACTCCACCTCTGAGAAGCACCTTGCCACTCCCTTCCTTTGGAAGACTCCCAGGGAAATGAGAGCCTTCCCACTATGGAGGCTGTGTGACATCCTGGAGCGTGACCCTGGACACGCTCACACTCTGTGAAATGGGCATGCTGTCTTACTGGCTGGGTCTAGATCAGGGGGCTTCTTGGCAGGACTCTACCCTGGGAGACAACCCTCTGGCTTCTCCGAAACTCCATTTCTTCTTATGGAAGAGCTCGGGGCCCCTGGGGTCTCTGGGCATTATTGTAGGCAGTGGCCACACCTGGATCTCCCTGGTCTCCTCCTGGATTTCTTGGTCCCTGGTCGCCCTCTGCCCATGCTGGGGCCTAGTTTCCATTTACTTAAGGTAATGCACAGAGCTGTCCTCTCTCCGTGCAGAGCACAGAAGCCATGTATCTGCGGAAGTCCCTCCGCCAGAACCCGGGCAGCCTGGAGACCGTCCTGAAGACAATGGAGGAGAAGCAGATCCCGGATGCAGAAACCTTCGGGAATCTTCTGCCCGGGATGCTCCAGATCGACCCCTCGGATCGAATAACGATAAAGTGAGCTCAGGGTCGGGGTTTATTTTAACCTATGGATTTATCTTTCAACATCTCTCCACCCTAATACAGACACAACTAGTTGGCTTTGTAACACCTCACAGAACTCCATCACAGATGCCCTGATTATCCCTGCACTGCTGGGCTTTTCCCAGTTCTGGCGCTCCCAAACCGTGCTGCGGCGAGTGATCCCAAATGCACCTCTCTGAGCACTGGAGGGAGCAGACTGACTCCCAGAAGACACAGGAGGCACAGCCTCCAGGACCCACGACACTTTTAGGGTTCCAGAAAAAAATTTTCATTCTACGTTAAAAAAAAAATTCCTAAAGACAGTGGTCACCTTTAAAATTTTCATTCTAACTTATTTTAAAATCAGAAGACAAGAGTAAATACATAACACTGGCCGGGTGCAGTGGTTCATGCCTATAATCCCAGCACTTTGGGAGGCCGAGGCGGGCAGATCAATTGAGCTCAGGAGTTCGAGTGTAGCCTGGGTAACATGGCGAAATCCCTGTCTCTATTAAAAATACAAAAAAATTAGCTGGGTATAGTGGTGCATGCCTGTGTTCCCAGCTACTGGGGAGGCTGAGGCAGGAGGATCGCTCGAGCCCAGGAGGCAGAGGTTGCAGTGAGCCAAGATCGCGCCACTGCACTCCAGCCTGGGCGACAGAGCGAGACTCCATCTCAAAAATAAAAAAGAATCCAGGCCAGGCACGGTGGCTCACGCCTGTAATCCCAGCACTTTGGGAGGCCCAGGTGGGTGGATCACTTGAGGTCAGGTGTTCGAGACCAGCCTGGCCAACAGAATGAAACCCCGTCTCTACTAAAAATAGAAAAAAAATAAGCCGCGCGTGGTGGCAGGCACCTATAGTCCCAGCTGCTCGGGAGGCTGAGGCAGGAGAATTGCTTGAACCCAGGAGGCGGAGGTTGCAATGAGCCGAGATCGTGCCACGGCACTCCAGCCTGGGCGACCAGAGTGAAACTCCATCTCAAAAAACAAACAAACAAACAAAAAAACGAACAAAAAACAAAAAAAACCCCAACACTATAGCAAGGAATCCAGCCTGGGTCATATCCATCTTTATACCAATGCAGTTGTAAAATCTGGGTTTTCATGTTTCCATGGAGGCAGGGGACCACAAGGGCAAAAGTGCCAGGGCCCGGGACTGTCCCCCAGCTCTATGAGCTGAGGCCGTGCCTCCGTGGAGTACTTCCCTGGGTGTGGAATTACTGGGGTGCTTGCCAGACACACTGGGAACACTATGAGAGACCCTGCCAAATGCATCCCAAAACAGCGAGGTCAGTGTCCGGCGTCCGCACCGATGGGCAGCCCGGAGCCGGAGGCAGAGGGAGAGCCCCACGGGGAGGCGGCAGGGGGCGCTGCTGGGTAACTCAGCCCTCTCTGCTCCTCTGCTAGGGACGTGGTGCACATCACCTTCTTGAGCGGCTCCTTCAAGTCATCATGCATCTCTCTGACCCTGTACCGGGAGACGGTGCCTGCGTCCATCACCGACATGCTGTTAGAAGGCAACGTGGCCAGCATTTTAGGTGATGTGATGCTGGGGACACACAGCTCCTGTCCATGGCCTTGGCATCCTGTTGTTTAGTTCCAGAGGGTTCATTATTTATGCCCCTGGCCTTGCTCCACGCGCACGACCAGTGGGTAGGAACAGTTTCCCTCCATCCATCCCTACACACTGCCCAGGACACCGCTCTGCTCAAATACCCTCCATAGCTCCCAACTACCTATAACACAAAGTTCCTCTCCAAAGCCTGGCCCCCACCTGTTTTCCCTCCACTCCTGCTACACAAATCCTCCATGTAGCTCAGTGGCCTAGTCACTGCCCGCGCCTCCCACAACCCTCTGCTTTTGCTTCCACAGCCTGGGTGGCACACAGTGGTCCCGGGGCGTCTTCCTCACACAGCACCACTTCCTGTGTGCCTCCTATGTGCCTGGGATGAGCGGAAGTGCGCACTTCCTGTGTGCCTCCTATGTGCCTGGGATGAGCGGAAGTGCGCTCCACTCTTTGTGTGCTCCAAGACAGAGACTTGGGTTCTATCAAGGAAAAGTCGCTTGGTCTCAGTGGCCTCATCTGTAAAGTGGGGATGGTAACAGCCCCTCCCTCTCATCCTGAACCTGTAGATCCGAGGAGGGGATGCACACACAGCAGCCAGGCCAGTGTGGTGCCGAGAGACAGGGCCCTGAGGCCCTGGTCCTCAGAAAGGTCCCTCCCCTGCCTTCCTGTCCCTGCAGAGGTCATGCAGAACTTCTCTGGCTGGCCCGAAGTCCAGTTCAGGGCCATGAAGAGGCTTCTGAAAATGCCTGCAGATCAGCTAGGTAGGCCTCACCCTGCACCTCTTTCCCAGCTGCTCCCCTAGGGGCAGAAGCTATGGTCCAGCCCGCGGGGAGCTGGGGCTGGCCCTCACCCTGGGCTCTCCTTGCCAGTGCTTTAGTGCAGCATGGAGGTGTGCATGTGTCCCCAGAAGTGTCCCGTGTCTCTGCTATCCGCCTGGGGAAGGCAGCAGAGAAGGGGAATGGGTGGCGTAGCAGCCCTCACATGATTTTAATGGAGCCATAGACATCCCATCTACCTCACTGTCTCTATGAGGGGTATGTGAGTTGTTTCTCAGTTTCCACTATTATGAATGATACTGGAACAGACACCCTGGTGTATATGTATCTGTGCGCTTATGTTTCTGTAGCACAGATTCGTAGATGTTCAAGGGTGTGAATACTTTAAATTTTCATAGATACAGCAACTTGCCCACCTATTAAGAATGCATGGCCTGGCACAGTGGCTCACGCCTGTAATCCCAGCACCTTGAGGAGCCAAGGCGGGAGGACTGCTTGAGCCCAGGGGTTCGAGGCCAGCCTGGGCAACAAAGGGAGAGCCTGTTTCTACAGAAAATAAAAAAAATTAGCCAGGTATGGTGACACAGGTCTGTTGTCCCAGCTACTCTCGAGGCTAAGGCAAGAGGATTGCTGGAGCCCAGGGAATCGAGGCTATAGTGAGATACGCTTGTGCCGCCGCACTCCAGCCTAGAAGACCCTGTCTCAGAAAACAAAACCAAATTCAAAAAGGTTGTTACTGCTCATTCATGGAGAACGTTGGGAAAAGCAGTGGTGTTTTTTTTTTTTTTTTTTTTTTTTTTTTTTTTTTTTTTGAGACAGGGTCTTGCTCTATCCCCCAGGCTGGAGTGCAGTGGTGTGATCTTGGCTCACTGCAACCTCTGCCTCCTGGGTTTAAGTGATTCTTCTGCCTCAGCCTCCCAAGTAGCTGGGACTACAGGTGCATACCACCACACCCGGCTAATTTTTTGTATTTTTAGTAGAGAGGTGGTTTCACCATGTTGGCCAGGCTGGTCTCAAATGCCTGATCTCAAGTGATCTGCCTGTCTCGGCCTTCCAAATGAGACACCGTGCCTCAATTTTTAAAACATTTGTGTCAAAACATACTTTCATAAAATCGTTCAACCTTTTTCACCTGCCTGAACATTACCTTCACATCCATCCATCCATCCATCCATCCATCCATCCATCCATCCACCCACCCATCCATCCATCCATCCATTTATCCATCCGTCCATCCATCCTTCCATCCATCCACCCACCATCCATCCATCCATCCATCCATCCATCCATCATCCATCCACCATCCATCCATCCATCCATTCATCCACCATCCATCCACCCATCCATCCATCTACCCATCCATCCATCCACCCATCCATCCATCCACCCATCCATCCACCATCCATCCATCCACCCATCCATCCATCCATCCACCCATCCATCCATCCACCCATCCATCCACCATCCATCCATCCACCCACCCATCCATCCATCCATCCATCCACCATCCGTCCATCCATCCATCCATCCATTTATCCATCCGTCCATCCATCCATCAGCCCTGGATTAGGAATCCACTGAGGTTTGTTGCAGTGGCTCAGGCCTCAGAGATGACAAGGCCCAGCCCTGACCTTCGAGTAGGTGGCAGAGGCCTCATATGGGCCTAATTTACCATTCCCTCCCTCCCCTCCTCCTCCTCTTTGACCCCTTTTGTAGCTCAGCTGTGACCAGGACAGAGTCCCTGGGAAGACAGATTTTGCCTCCCTGGGGAAACTAGGGAAGCTTTTGGGCCCCATCCCAGAGGGTCGGTCTTTCCCAGCACCTGGAACCACACCTCCCTCCACATCTTGCTTAGAAATGGGCTTGCAGCTGAGCACAGCGACTCATGCCTGAAATCCCAGCACTTTCGGAGGCTGAGGTGGGCGGATCACTTGAGATCACGAGTTCAAGACCAGCCTGGCCAACATGGTGAAACCCTGTCTCAACTAAAAATACAAAAATTAGCCAGATGTGGTGGCACATGCATGTAATCTCAGCTACTCAGGAGGCTGAGGCAGGAGAATCGCTTGAACCCAGGAGGGGGAGGTTGTGGTGAGCCGAGATGAAGCCACAGAAAAGCCTGGGTGACAGAGTGAGACTCTGTCTCAAAAAAAAAAAAAAAAAAAAAAAAAAAAAAAAAAAAAAGGTGGGGTGGGGCACTTGCTTTGCTCCGCACTCCGGGTGCCAGGACTTCATCCTTGTTGCTCTCATGAGCCTACAGTGGAGGGATGGCTGCCTGGCCACTGCCCCTCACCCAGTCCCCAGCCCACAACAGTTCCTGGCAGTGGCAGGGTGGATAGAGCCCACCCACGCCCACCCTCGAGGCAGTTGCAGCCAAGGGCTCTGGAGTAGACTGGCTGGTTTTAAACTGCTATAGAGCAGGTGCTTTCATCACACTGACCTCAGGTTCCTCATCTGCACAAGGAGGGCAGTCCCGGGAGGGGCTACTTCACAGGGCTGTGGGCAGCACAGAACATGTACCCGTGGCAGACAGGGCATGCACTCCACGGACCTAGCACTAATCCTCATTGTCCTTCCCCCTTCTATTCATCCACCTAGGGCCCTGCCGGCTCCCACCAGCCCCCGGGGGCCCTGGTCTGCTCTATACGCCCCCGACCTGGCCCAAAATGAGTCTCCCCTGTGCCGCCCACCCTGCCAGGTCTGCCGTGGCGCCCGGAGCTGGTGGAGGTGGTGGTCACGACCATGCAGCTGCATGACAGGGTCCTTGACATCCAGCTGTGTGCCTGCTCCCTGCTGCTGCACCTCCTGGGCCAAGGTGGGTGCCAAACCAGGCCAGGTGGGGTCGGGGAGGCTGTGCGCTGCTTCCTGCAGCTGTGCCTCCTGCGCCAAGGTGGGCACCGGGCCGGGTGGGTTGGGGGAATCCATGCCCTGCTCCCTGCTGCTGCACCTTCTAGGCCAAGGTGGATGCCAGGGCCAGGCCAGATGGGGGAGACACTCTTGGTGGCCTAGCTCCATCCCCACCTGTTACCTGGTTGGCATCTGACCCTCTGGACAGTCCATACCATCCTGTGCCCATTGGACCCCATCCTGGATGGCAGAGGGCATAGGCCAGGAGCCTAGAGATGTGGATCCCACCCACGCCTGGTGGTGGGTGGATCACGACATCAGGAGTTCAAGACCAGCCTGATTGACATGGCGAAACACGTCTCTACTAAAGATACAAAAATTAGCCAGGTGTTGTGGTGGGTGCCTGTAGTCCCAGCCACTCAGGAGGCTGAGGCCACTTTTGCCTACTCTGTGGCCCTGGACAAGTTCCTGCTGCTCCCGCCAGTTTCCCAGCTATGAAGCGAGGAGCTGGACACGAGGTCCTCTGGAGTGGCCCTCAGGGAGGATGGGTTGCATCCTCTGAAGGGGGCTGGTAGGACAGTGCTGAGGTGATTTCACTGCCCTGATGGAAGAGGCTGGAGCTGACAGTCTGAGCCTCCTATGAGACCTGGGTTGTTTAAAAAGTTGAATTAGCTTTCATGATTTTTTTTTAAACAAAAAGTATTTAGTTACCTTTCTAGTTCTTTTTTTTTTTTTTTTTTTTTTTTTTTTTTGAGATGGAGTTTTGCTCGTCACCCAGGCCGGAGTGCAGTGGCATGATCTCGGTTCACTGCAACCTCCACCTCCTGGGTTCAAGCGATTTTCCTGCCTCAGCCTCCTGAGTGGCTGGGACTACAGGCGCCCACAACACCTGGCTAATTTTTGTATTTTTAGTAGAGACGTGTTTTGCCACGTCAGGCAGGCTGGTCTTGAACTCCTGATGTCGTGATCCGCCCACCTCAGCCTCCCAAAGTGCTGGGATTACAGGCATGAGCCACCATGCCCGCCCACCTTTCCAGTTTCACTGTTGAAGTTTGGAGTTCCATACAACGTTGAAATTGTGTTCACTGCTGCCTGGCCGGCTCCCACGGACCAGGATGGGTGGCCTGGCCAGGCAGGGCTCCCCTCCAGCCCTTCACTCCATTAGGGCACACGGATTCACGGAGGCCTGCTCTAGGCCAGGAGAACAAGGCAGACCTCGCTTTCCTTCATGCAAAGTAGAGATGCTATCCCCCAGCCTGTGAGCCTCGTGTGTCTCGTCCCACGCCCCAGCTGTGGGGCTAACCCTAGGCGTCTTCCTCTGGCCCGAGCAGCGATGGTGCACCACCCAGAAGCCAAGGCTCTCTGTAACCAAGCCATCACCTCTGCCGTGCTGAGTGCTCTTTGGAGCTACCCCGAGGAGGAGTCACTCCTTGTCTTGGTCTACAGCCTGCTCGCCATCACCACAACCCAGGGTGTGTCTGCCAGCCACCTCGTGCCCCACCCACACTCCAGGACAGCCCTTCCCAGGGGTCTCAGGAAGGGTTGGTTTGGGGTACAGGTGGGTCAGACAGGACGGTGCTGGGCCTCCTCCTGAGATGCACAGTGGCATTTGGCCATCTTCATTCGGTCACCCCAAATGCTGGTCGCATCCTTTTCTATCTTGATGACAAGCTTCCACTCTTGAAGTCACTGGTTCCCTCTACAGACATGCCAGGCGCGGCTGTGGGCTTCACACCAATGACATCTATTTGCCACACTTCCTGCCCCTTCTGGGAGGCTGGAGGGCAAATGCCCTGTCTCCATTCCATAGGGCCCAGTAGGCTTCCGAAGCCACCAGCCAGGACTGTGGGAAGGAGAGGGCCACACAGAGCGTTCACAGCCTCACCCACAAATCGGGTGGGCACTGTTCTCCCCAACAGGAAGCTGGGCCTTGAGAGAGCCTAAGGACAGCCGCCAGGAATCCCATGCAGCGGGGGTCAGGGCTGGGTCCCAGCACCCTCTTTACTGCATAGACTGGATAGCTGATCATACACAACTGATCTCACTTTTGGGAGTGAAAGGAGGCACTAGGAATAGATGTCAAATGGAACCATTAGGCAAAATGGATGTCAGTTCATCCTACCAGGACAGGGCCCCGTCACGGTTCCATCCTGGAAGGCACAGTCCGGCTCTGTGGGCCCAGGAGGCAGGGCCAGGCCCCCTGGATGGGAAGCTACAGAGGTCAGACCCAGCCTGGCAGTAGGATGGCAGCTTATTGGGACTGGTAGCCCACGAGATGGACAGACTCCTCTGGGGCCAGTCCCATGTCCTCCTGTTCAGGGCTCCGTTGAGTGCACATGACTTGGCCCAGAGCAGGCACCCCCCAGAACGCAGGTCAAATGGGACTGCAGTGCCCAAGGACAACAAAGGCAGGAAGGCTTCCTGGAGGGAGGGGCCCTGGGGCCCTCATTCTGGCCCACCCACAGAGTCACAGTCAGAGTCAGAGTCAGTGTCAGAGGAGCTGCAGAACGCCGGGCTGCTGGAGCACATCCTGGAGCACCTCAACAGCTCCCTCGAAAGCAGGGACGTCTGCGTCAGTGGCCTGGGCCTGCTCTGGGCCCTCCTGCTGGATGGTGAGGGGCCCTCCTCCTGCTGTCCCACTGGGGCTGGGAGCCCTCCCCCAGTCGCTCCCCAACTACCCCTGAGAGCCTTTGAGGACCTCCATGTCCTGTCCCCGAAGCACAACAGCCATGGTCTGGGAAAGGCTCTTCTGAGAGCCTGCAACAGAAGAAAATCAAGGAGCAGAGAGAGAGAAGGTGGGGGAGGAAAGGCCTTCTGGCAGAGGCCAGGCTTCAGGACTTCTTGCCCAATGGGCAGACCCCTCAGTTTTAAGTGCCTCCTGCCCCAGGGAAACGTCCTGGAATTTTCCAGGCAGTCCTGGTTCCAGGGGACAGCGGCAGTGCTGGATGCCGTTTTGATTTTTGATTCACAGTAGGGGGGCCCTCCGGCCTGTGCTGTTTCCCCTCCTCTAGACCCCATCTTGGCACTCCAGTGCCCCAGGAAAAAGAGGGCTCCAAACCATGGAAAGCCCAGGAAACCCAACAACCCTGCCAGCACCCAAAGTGTGGGATTCTCCAAGCCTCTCCTGGGCTAATCCCCGCAACTGTCTGAGGACAGCTGACCTCTCCCACCCCCTTTCTGTTCTTGTCCTTAGTTGGAGGAAGGCAGCAGATTGGGGGTGGAAGGCCCCCCTGCACACAACCAAGGCCTGGGTGTCCCCTTCCATCCCTGTCCTGGTTCCAGGTATCATTGTGAACAAGGCCCCTTTGGAGAAGGTCCCGGACCTCATCAGCCAGGTGTTGGCCACCTACCCTGCGGATGGGGAAATGGCGGAAGCCAGCTGCGGAGTCTTCTGGCTGCTGTCCCTACTGGGTGAGCTGGGTGGGCGCCCTGGGCCCCTGGGGCTGGGAGCCGTGGGCCTCGCGCACACAGCAGGTACAAAGCAGCCTGGCCCCTTTCCACAGGCTGCATCAAGGAGCAGCAGTTTGAACAAGTGGTGGCGCTGCTCCTGCAAAGCATCCGGCTGTGCCAGAACAGAGTCCTGCTGGTGAACAATGCCTACCGGGGACTGGCCAGCCTGGTGGAAGTGTCAGGTGAGCCTGGGGACAGGACGAGGCTGCCACCTACAGGTGGGGACAAGAATCAGCCTCCATCAGTTATATCTGCCAGGTGCCACAAACCAAAAAACAGAAGCAACAAATCAAAAAGGAAAATAAATTTAAAACGATGTAAAGTCCAATCATCCAGAAATCACCATCAAGACTTCTATGCACACTTGATGAATTCTACCTCTGCATTATGCTACCCCGTGACCCTCTCTCTGTCCATAAACACGTCACATCTGCACGTTTCCCAACATGCAGGCACACCATGACTGATCAAAACAGCTCTGGAGTCGGCGTCTCCAATTCCCCACAACACAAACCCTGCCTGTTACTCAGCAAGACAGGCTGGGCCCGGTGCTGAGCACAGCACAACCGAGGCTCGACCCACAGCACAGTCCTTCGGAGAGCACCTGGGGCCCGGCCCAGACTCCAGCTGGTGCCTAGCGACTGGGCTCATGGTCTCGACCTCTGTACTACCCAACCTTCCTCAGAGTGACGACGACTCCTTTGGCTCTTGTGTGACCCTATTCAGGCCATGCCATCCTGCTGGTCCGCCCAAGCTGACGGGGCCTCCTGGGTCTCTTGTCCTATCCCAGCCCCCTGTGTGTGAGCTCTGGGGTACCATCCCATCCTGGGCAGAAGGCTCTTCCCTTTCAGGGGAACAGCGGGGCATGAACTCACTCTCACCCATCCCCCAGAGCTGGCGGCCTTCAAGGTGGTGGTGCAGGAGGAGGGCGGCAGTGGCCTCAGCCTCATCAAGGAGACCTACCAGCTCCACAAGGATGACCCAGAGGTGGTGGAGAACGTGGGCATGCTGCTGGTCCACTTGGCTTCCTACGGTGAGAACCCCTTCTCGCATCACACCCCCTAGAGCCCAGTGGTCAGGGGTGCCCGCTCCCCCTGTAACTGACAGGAAAGGAGCGCACAGAAGACGGGCTCAACCCCACTTCTCAGCCCTCTGAAACTTCCCACACATTTGGCATCTCCTAAACACTAGGGGTTGTCCTGGCTGAGGGGGACGCATGGGGCTCCAGAACTGCAAGGTGGCTCTGTGCATGCCAAGCCCAAGGGGGACTGTGACCCACCCTCGTCCTTCTGGGGCTCCTGGCAAGGGGCACAGGAGGGGCTCTGGCCTCAGGACCTCCTTGCTCCACCCGCAGAAGAGATCCTGCCGGAGCTGGTGTCCAGCAGTATGAAGGCCCTGGTCCAGGAGATCAAGGAGCGCTTCACCTCCAGCCTGGTGAGTGACAGAAGCGCCTTCAGCAAACCAGGCCTCCCTCCAGGTGGAAGCCCCCAGCCGGGGTGCACCGCGTCCGGGGGCCTGGAACAGATGATTGCATGGAACTGACCTTGATCTCCACATGTATGGTTTTCAAGACTGCTCTCCCGCCTGCCCATTATCCTGTCTCTATGACTGGGCCAAAATCAATCTTCAACAGGAGGGGTCATCAGACCTCTCCAGAGTTTCCTGTCCATGACTACTGGATTGAGTCACATGAGTAACTGCTCCTGGACCCGGGAACTGTCCATGAAAACTGACCCGCCTGCTTCCTCCTTCCAGGAGCTGGTTTCTTATGCAGAAAAAGTGCTCCTGAGGCTGGAGGCGGCCACTTCTCCCAGCCCCCCGGGCAGAGAAGCAGCTCAGCCCTGATGCTGGGGAGCAGACAGACACCCCACAGGCCCCTCCTCCACGTGTGCCCTCTCCCTGCCCTTCCTTTCCATGGGTCACTGTTTCCCTTGGGGCGGCAGGGAGGGTCGTCTGGGACCAGAAGGCACACCTCACACTCCTCTTAGGTGAATAATAAAGAGGCCCAAGGCCAGTTTCTGCCTTAATCGTTTCTGGCAAGATGCCGTGACTGGCCAGTGGGGTACTTAATGCTGCAGCCTCTATAGACCTCGCCCTGGACACGGAAGTCCTTCCAGACCATTCTAGATGAGAGTCAACACTGAGCCTCCACAGGTTCCATTCGAAGTAAACATCTGCATTTATTTTAAATCACGTCCTCGGTGCGTCTGCACCTTTTCTGTCCAGCTGTCAGGTGGCCCAATAACGCCTTGGACTCCATCCCCTAGTCAGTGCCACTGGCTGTTCCTGACTCTAGTTCCCAGGGGAGTCTCAAACCGGGGCCTAGCCAAGCAGGCCACTGGCTAGCGTCACATAGCTTCTCTACCTCAAACAGCCCAAGGTCGGCACATCTGCCGACCTCCAGGAATAACCGCGGTCACCGTGCCCAGGCGACACATCCTCGCACTATGGGGAGAAGCCTCTGCTGGGTGACCCACCAGCCAACCCTGGGCCAATTTAGATAAACGCTCAAAGTCCAAACGGCCACAGGAAGCTCCTGATGTAACACCTGTTGTGCCGGCCAGCCATGTCTCAGGAGCTGACTGCAGACACCGGGTCTGGGCCCCTCAAGCCCAGTGGAGCTTGTTATGTCCCCTGAGACAAAGGAGGAAAATGGGGCCCCCCAAGAGAAGGTGCTAAGCACTTCACCCCAGGGTGAGTGGTCACTGAAGACGGGCGGTGACAGCACTGTACAAGCTGGCGGCCCACAGGCCCCATCCTCGCCTCGCCCAGGCAGTCAGCAGTTCGTAAAGCATGGCCAGGCATGCTCATGGCAGCCCCTGCTCCCCACCCCGACCATCAGGGTCCAAATACACATGGACAGTAAGACCAGGCCTCAGACCACAAAGTCAAGAGAAAGGGGGACGTTCTCAGTAGCACCACGCCATGCCCCTCTGCCGTGATTCCGAAAAGGTTTCACCAGAGTAGACACTGTGGGGAGATGTGATCTGTCCCTGTGACTGGTCACATTGCCTCTGTAGCGGGGCAGCAGCAGCAGCAGGGCAGGGCTGCTAGGTGTCGTCACTGCAGTGGTCTGGAGCAGTCAGCAGGGGATGCCTGTCTCGGGCCATGCTCTCCCACTCCTTCTTCACCATGATGTACAGCCTCATTGCTGCCTGGGCATCCTGAATCTAGACGACACGAAACATCCCAGCAGGTGACAAGGCATAGCTGCAGCCCAGTCAACCCCGCAATGACTGAGCCCTCCCACTAGCCACTCTGCTAGGGATGTACTGAGTGAGATGTGGACCCGGCCAAAAAATGTCACCAGGATGGGGAGGGAGGACACAACAGAAGCAGAGGGAGCAACGACCTGATGGTCCCCACACTTCTGTGACTCAGACCCCCCTTCCAGGAGAAGAAAGGGGAACCGAAAGAGGAGAAGCAACAAACACGCTGCCTTTTTAGGTTTCTGAGTGCAGGGTGATGGCAGGCTGGGCGCCGGGCACAGGGGCACAAGGACCAAGCAGACGGGCACGAAGGGCCCAAAGCGCTGAGGCCACGCTGCAGGGAGTGACTGCTCCACAGAGGCGGAGCCAGCTGCTCAACGGGCCGGTCAGGGCAGGGCTGGAGGGCTGGGGTGGGGGGGCTTTGTAATTATTTGGCAACTTTTTCTCCAAATAATGAGAATGCAGTTCTTTTGTGTTGTGTTAAATTCGTTAAATGTGCATATTTAGAACTTAACCAAAATTCCGTAACTCTGCTCTGCCATTTTTTTTTTTTTTTTGACCAATAGCCTCACAGGAAAAGTAGGTGCCCAGGCCCCTCCTCCCCCATGTCTGTGTCAGGTGACTCATGTCTGGTTCCTGGTGAGAAACCGCCCCAAACCCCATGGACTGCCTCCCAGGACACACTCACCGAACAGTGCTCCGCCTGCTGGACCTGGAGCCCAAGGATCTTCTCTGAAAGTAGTCGCAGAGACGGCCTTCCACTCTGCAAAGGGGGAAGAGGCATAGGGGGGGCCTCTGCAGGCTCTGCCCACACAGGGTCACCGCACCCAGCAGGGAGGGGTCGGCTACTGAACCTCACCCAAGCGACCTACAGTTTGCCCCTCAGTGGAGGTGCTCATGGCACTTAGGGTGGCAGCCACCAGCTGCAACCTCTTTATAACATGATGGGCTGGTGATGCACCCCATCAGCCAATCAAGGGAGAGGGCCAGGGGAGGAGTCAGCATCCCCATCGCCCATCTTGAGGCCTCCCTGCTTATTTCAAGAGGGACAGCTCTGGTCAGGCACGGTGACTCACACTTGTAATCTCAGCACTTAGGAGGCCAAGGAGGGCAGATCACTTGAGCCCAGGAGTTTGACAACAGCCAGGACAACATAGCAAGACCCTATCTCTACAAAAAAATGAAAAAATCAGCCAGGGGTGGTGGCATATGCCTGCAGTCCCAGCTATTTCAGACGCTAAAGTGGAAGGACTGCCTGAGCCTGGGAGGCGGCAGTTACGGTGAGCCGAGATCATGCCACTGCACTCCACCCTGGGTGACAGAGCAAGACCCTGACTTAAAAAAAAAAAAAAAAGGAGGATGAAGAACAGCTGTGCCCTTGGCACCCTCTAGAGTAGATATGACAGTGGCACCAGGCCCTTAGTCAGTGACCCTGTTTCAGAGGTTAGAGTGGAAGTAACTTGCCCTCCGTTGCAATCATTTTTAAGGTCAGCAATTAGCAGAACTCTATTTTTAAACATTCCTTCTAGTTTTAAAGGTTAAAAGGAAAAATAAAATCCCTTTAACCAACAAGTCAGCCACCAGTGACCAGAAACAATGAAGTGACCAGCAAAACAGAAATACAGTATCTTGAGTCACACTCATTTTAAGTACCTTTACTTGACTCTTGAAAGGTTTATATTTCTGTGTGTCTCGAATCTTCTTTTTTGGATGATCAAGAAACAGTACCTAGAAAAAGAAAATATAATGATAATCATTTTCATTTTTGGTTTATAGTAGCAGAACCCCCTCCCCCCGCCACCTTTTACAAGTAACATCTTTGTGTGTGTGTGACATAGTCTTGCTCTGTCACCCAGGCGGGAATGCAGTGGCTCAATCTTGGCTGACTGCAACCTCCACCTCCAGGTTTCAAGTGATTCTCCTGCCTCAGCCTCCTGAGTAGCTGGGATTACAAGTGCCCGCCACCACGCCTGGCTGATTTCTGTTATTTTTCAGTAGAGACAGGGTTTTGCCATGTTGGCCAGGCTGGTCTCGGAACTCCTGACCTCAGGTGACCCACCTGACTCGGCCTCCCAAAGTGGTGGGACTACAGGTGTGAGCCACCGTGGCTGCCCTGCAAGTAACATCTTGTAGGGAATCCAAGCATGTCACACACACACGGAAACGAGGCATTGATACGAACTTAAACTCCATGAGGAAATTTATCACACTGACTTAAGCATCATGATGCCCAACAGTCAGAGACAATAAAAACAAAATCTTGAAATCAAGGAAGAAGGAGAAAAACAGTCAACAATTAACCAGCAACCAACTTTTTCCTATATTATACTTGTATCTTGAGTTGGTTCTGCACATCAGGAAGTTGGAAATAACACATTATAACAGCTCATCTTGCAATCTTAGCATGCAATCTTTTTTTTTTTTTTGAGACAAGAGTCTCGCTCTGTCACCCAGGCTGGAGTGCAGTGGCGCGATCTCGGCTCACTACAAGCACCGCCTCCTGGGTTCACGCCATTCTCCTGCCTCAGCCTCCCGAGTAGCTGGGACTACAGGTGCCCGCCACCATGCCCGGCTAATTTTTTGTATTTTTTAGTAGAGACGGGGTTTCACCATGTTAGCCAGGATGGTCTTGATCTTCTGACCTCATGATCTTCCCGCCTCAGCCTCCCAAAGTGCTGGGATTACAGGCGTGAGTCACCGCACCCAGCCTCTTTTTTTTTTTTTTTTTTTTGATAGGCTCTCACTCTGTCACCTGGGCTTCAGTGCTATGGGGTAATCATGGCTCCCCGCAGCCTTGACCTCCTGGGCTCAACTGATCCTTCCACCCCAGCCTCCTGAGTAGCTGGGGCAACAGGCACATGCCACCACACCTGGCTAATTTAAAAATTGTTTACAGAGATGGGGTCTCCCTGTTACTCAGGCTGGTCTCTAACTCCTGGCCTCAAGCAATCCTCCGGCCTCAGCCTCCCAAAAACCTGTGATTACAGACCTGAGCCACTGTGTCTGGTCCTTAGCATAATCTTCAAGAAAGACTTAAACATGTGTTGCACAAGTTACCAGGGATGGAGCCAGAGTCAGGAGGGAAGGACAAGTTACCACAGTGGCAGTCTCTGAGGGGATATGACAGGAGCACACAAGACTTTCTGTGAGGATATTGCCCGGGTGGTTCTCATCTCAGTTTCACCCTCTATAAACAAGCATGAACACCGCTGGCATCTTTAATGGATTCAAGAGATCTCTATAGTGCCATAACGGGAGCACCAGAGCGGGAGCACCACAGCAAAGGCTGCTGCTGGACCATTAGCATCTCTGCCACTTCCTTCTGAACGGCTTCAAGCTCCTCACCACACCCAAGTGCTTCAAGCCGGTGGGCAGAGGTGAGAACTTAAGAACTATCTCTCCCATCTAGCAGACTGGCCTCCCCACTGTTCCCACTGTGTCCTTTAAACCAACATCCAGGCATTTGGCCATAAACTCAAAGTGACCCCCACCCTGTTCTCCTGTAAATACACACATACTCGCTCTGCCTGACTCTTCATTCCTGCCTCGGATGACCAGGGGGTGGCGGGCTGCCCTCCCCACCCATGAGGCCTGCCCTGCCCAGGGTCTGTGTATGTCTTTGAACTTGTTTCCCACAGTGCTGGTGTCTGAATTTGCACCTTCCATCTGAACAGCCAGGGGCTGCCCCAGGCGGGATTTTCCGGGGATGCCAGGAAGAAGGCAAAGGCAAGCTCCCAGGGCCAGGGTGATGGTCAGGCAGGCGTAACCTGAACACGGGTCACAGGGCATCTGCCAGGATAAACTAGTTTCCTGCAGAG